GAGGGATATTATGTTTGGTAAGGTGGAGGGTCAGAGAAAAAGAGGAAGATCCCCAGAGAGATGGATTGGCAAAGTGGCAGTATCAGTGGGCTCAAGCGTGGCAACAACTGTGAGGTTCACCCAGGACCAGGCAGTGTTTCGTTCTGTTGTACATAGGGTCTATATGAGTCGGTACCGACTCAATGGCACCTAACAACAACAAGAAGAGATAATAACATAAAAGCCCCATCATGGACAATCTTTAAGGAATTGCTATTAATTTCATCAGCGTCTTTGGGATGAAATGGAAAGATGGAATGATTGGAAGGAATTATATGGATTCAATCATGTATACCCATATATCCATGAAGAAGTGAAACTAATTATATGGACTCAAAATGTTTCAATCATGTTGGCACTTGTGAGAATAATTCCCCCCTCAGGATTTATGTAGAACTCCTCTAAATGAGGGCTTGGACTGGGGATCATTGTATGGAGAGCAAGCATGGAAAAGAACATGTTTATATTCATCTTCAGTTTTTGACACATGATTGACTATTTGTCTCTTGCTTTGGGGACTTGTCATTTCCATTGCTTTTTACACCCTGATCCCTATCTGGCTGCCAATGTGTGCTCTTAAACTCTTTTTTGGATGCTCCAACTGGGTAGATACACACTTTTCTAACCACTAGTTCACACATGATTAATTTTTCATCATTCATCTGGTCTTATGTGGATGATACGCACTGAGCCTTCACTCCTGGCTGTATCCCAGTTTCATTCCTTAGCTTTGTTTGTAATATTTGCTCTGGAATAAAGTATATTTTACTTTTATGGACAAATATAATCCTAGTTGAATTATTAGACAAATATAATACAGTCAGTGGCAGAACATTTTAAAGAAAAGCTCATTTGTGTTTATTATTTTTGTCCCTTGCATCAGAAAATGAACACAACATTTTTTCTTATTACCAACAATGCCCTTTCTGAACTTCATAACAAAAAGGTTTAAGGACAAATTATTGGAAATCGCTTCAGCAACTCACATGAGGTGGAGATTTTAATACATCCTAGTGTGGCGCTATAGGATCAGCACTGGACTGTGAACCACAAGGTCAGCAGTTCAAAACCACCACTCCTCAAAAAATCTATACAGGGTCTCTATGAGTTGGAAACGACTTGAAGGCATTTAACAACAACAACAAAAGGGTGGCTATCATAAGAAGTAAGAAGCAGACAGTGTCTGCAAGCAGTTACTTTGTTGCATATAATGTTGTCAGACAAAATCATTCATTTTCCCTACCCGATGGCAAAATATTTAGCAAAGACATTTGTTCTGAATTTCTCAGCCTAATGTAACATAATGGTTACAGTATTGCATGGGGAGTCAGAAGGGTTATGCTTCAGTCTTTCATAAAGTAGAGTGGTTATCAGTCTTTTCCCAACTCCTCTTTCATCTAGCTAGGGTGACTGACTAGTTCTTAGCAATGAAACGTGAATGGAAAAGATGCATGCCACTTCACTGCTAAGGCGGCTTTGAAGCATGTATGCTTTTTCTATGTTCTCCTCCCCTGGTTCCTGACTGGATGTTGACACCCAGGATGACCTGAGAGGCCATGTGTCAAAGATGGCAGCACCACTCTCGGCCAGAGTCCCTGAACAATCTCATAAATAATTTCTCTTTTTCACTCTCACCAATCAGAAACATCTGCACTGTGTCAAACCAGTGACATTTTGAGATTCTGTGTTATAACAGCTAGTACATCACCTAACTAAATTGTTTCACCTCTTTATGCCAAACTGTCTGGGTTGTTTGTTGTAAGGATTAAATGAGTAAAACACTTATAACGATGTCTGCAATACAGTAAATGCTCCATAAATGTGAGCTATTAATATTATCAAATGCTCTGATACTAACTAGTTATGAGTTATTGAACAAGTCAATTTCCCTGGACCTCCATTTTCTCCAGTATAAACATGTACATTATTCTTGAGTGTATATAAATTCCCCTAACTTCAGAATGGTATAATAGAACTTTGATCTGGTAAAGAACTCTGAGTATTAGATTTGGGACTGATGCTTAAAGTAGCTAAGAAAACAAAAACAAAACCTATCTTAATGCATGGAAAGATGCTGGAGGATGGAGAGACATTCAGAATATCAGGTAAAGAGAGCAAGGGAAATGTGAGAATGGTACAAAGGGTACTGAGAGAGAAACCTATTATTGAAAGAAAAGTCTATTGTCTTTTTGATGTACACCCACTAGATTCTGAAATAGGCTTTGAAGAAAAGAAAAATTTACAAACCGGGCTGTGTCTGTAAGGCTTTCATTTACACCCAAATGAATATCTTGTGTGGTAAGAAAGCAAGGATGTCCTCCCAGAAGTGCAAAGCCTGTAAGGAAAGAAAGATAGAAAAAGAAATATTGAAAAAAACCTTTAAAGCTGTCCAACCTCTCTGATAAGGAATTCACAAGCAAAGCAAAATGAGGAATTGAGGGAAATACGAGGGGATTCCCTCAGGGTCAACATCTCGAGCCCACCAGCCACTCTGCAGGGGACAGATGAGGCTTTCTATTCCTGTAAAAAGATTTAAAACCTTAAACCCTATACAGGGGAGTTATGAATTGGAACTCACTTCATGACACTTAACAACAACAGTAAAAACTAGAGGGTTTCAAAAATTTTGTTGGAAAATGGAATGAAAAGATAATGGAATTTGTCCACAACCTGTTTGAAACTCCCTAGCGGAAATTTTGTGCACAAGCAGCCTACATCAGGTGTGTGCCCATTACTCTACTCCTGCTAAGAACTTTGTGGTAATGGGACCTTGTGCCCTTTTGCTTGGCTTTGACTATTTAACTATATAATGATTTACAATAAGAAGAATGGAAAAAACCCTGTAGTATAAATATGGGATATCATAGATTTCATGAATATAAATAAGCAATAAGAAGGAACCAATTACTAATATATTCAACAACACGAATACATTTTACAGACATTGCAGTGAACAAAATAAATCATCTATAAAAGAGTAGATACCATTTGATTCCAATTATATGAAGTTCTAGAACAGGCAAAATTAGCCTAGATTGGCAGAAATCAAAACAGGGGTTGCTTCAGAAAGGGCATTAGGAAAATCTGGGATAATGGAAATGTTTCCTATCTTGGTAAGGGCTGACTGAACTGTACACTTAAGATCTGTATACTTTACTATTTTAATTTATGCCTTAATTAAAAAGCTTGAAAGTAAAATGAACATTGAGATGGAGTTTTCAGGTCCCCACGAGTCAGCAAAGGTCAATGGATTATTCAACTTTTTATATCCTCCAACCAAGACAAAATTAGGCATATTATCCTTACCATCATTTGAATATGATATTATTGCAAATACCTGAGTAGATAGATGGATATGACTCGCACCCCAGTAAGTGCCATCGGTCTGAGGAGGCTGACTCACAGACGTGTCTGCCCCAAACCACAGCTAAAGTTTTTAGGCAAAAGAGCCCTTGTATCATAAGTCTTGGGGCAAAGTTATGGGCCATGATGGTACACAATCAGCATGTTACCATCTCATTTGAAGCCAATTCAATGGACAGGCTTCTTCTTGTAGTGAAAAAGCAAATAAACTTAATTACAAGATAGTGACTTACCTGAGGAATTTGGAAAACATTACTTTTTTCCTACTTATTGTAATATGCCTGATTGCTCTTTTGGGATAATCACCGGACTGTGAACCATAAGGTTGGTGATTCAAACCCATCAGCTACTCCTTGGAAACTCTATACAGGTTCTCTATGAGTCGGAACGAACTCGACGGCACTTGGCAACAACAACCATAACCACATTTTGCTAATCCCACCTGTTTTTCATGAAAAGGGAGGAAACGGTGAATCATATGGTGAATTGGCAAGATGAAGGAAGGAAGAGGCAAGGTGAACTGTGAAGGAGAATGGACCTATGGTTTCTTCAAATATCCTACCCAAACCTTAACACAATTTGAATAACACCATTTGAATATGGACTTGCATTAAATGATTTTAAGAAATTATTACTTTTGTGAGATGTGATTGGTAGAAGTCAGACTTGACTCACTGGCAGTGGGAAACCTTTTAAGGAAGAGCAATCATGATTGAGTGCTGATTTGGTGCTGTAGGATCAGCACTGTTTGGCAAAATGTTGGCAGTTCAAACCCACCAGCTACTCATTGGATGTACAGGGTCGCTATGAGTTGGAACTGACTCAATGGCACTTACAGAAACAGCATCATGATATTGCTGCTAATAGGAAAATATCGTTTTACAAAAAAATAATGCATGCTGGTGTATTTAGAAATTAAATGTCATTATAAGTTTATTTTTTAAATACTTCAGAAACAAAATATAGAGAGATGAATCAAAGAAGCCAACATATTAGCATGCTAGATCAATGTCAAAGAATGCTAGAATGATCATTATACTCATCTTTCTACTTGGCTATTTATTTGAAAATATCAATATGTAAAAATAAAAAAACCCACAATGAAATGTAATCTTCATTTCTGCTACAGTATAAAAAGAAATAATTATAGTCTATCCAATTTATACTTTTAAGTGTCCTCTTAAATATGCCCAGACCAAATGGTTTCTAGCTAGAGGTCACCATGTTATGACTCTAACAATAACAATTTACAAAGCACTGCCATGTGCTGGCACTTGGTAAACATTCTTCCACTGAATCCCTCACTCTGACAAAGTACACAGTAAATATTATTATCAGCATTGCATGGACAAGGAATTGAAGAGTCGAAGGATCTAAAAAATGGTGCAGGATTGTTTTTAAGTCCCTATTGCCCCAGACCTTGCCATAGAGGAGCCAGGCCTTATGTCAAATTATACTGTGATATAGAGACAGGACAATGTAGTAGAACTGGAATCAGTCTTTTTCATCTAGACAAAAAGGCAGTTTTTACAGAACCCTAAGATCCCTTGCAAGTATGATGTTTTTGGTCCCAGATAGAATCAGAGAAATCTCAGAATACGAAACACTCAAATCGTCCTACTAGCTTTAGGTCTGGTAATAAGTCTGACTCCACTTTAGACGTGTGACTGCTAGCAGCTTTTAGGCTCACCATTTCCCATCCCTTTCTATTCTACATCTGAGCAAGCTGAACAGTAAACCCTCCTTTGGCATCAGTAGGAGAGTCAAACCATATAAGTTCTGCCCCTATATGGGAACCTTCATCCTAGTCCCACCCCTAACTCCAATAAAACCCTCAATCAATCTCATTTCCCAGTTCTCTAAAATTATGTTCAGATCAGCTTAGGTGCCAGATCTGTGCTCTCCAGAAAGCCCCATTAGGTCAGTAATAAACCTTTCACTATCCTCTTGGTATATGTGCTCGCCAGTTTCAACAGCTGAACCAATTTGAGAGGGTGGGGTGAGGAATCCACGTCAACTCAGTTGAGTGATTACAGTAGGTTCAGGCCTTACAGCATGATTCTCAAATTCATTCATTCATTCTACAAATATGCTCCTGGCACTGTTCTATGTTCTGGGAAAACATTGTAAATAAGATACAAGTCTATGCCTGCATGAAGTTAACTAGAGAAATACAGGTAATAAATTAAATATATTAGATATTATGCACTGGATGCTAATTCGTGCTATAAGAGAAATAAAGCAGGGAAGGTAAACATTCATAGTTTGGACAACTCTAATTTTCTAACATACAGTATTGAGAGATTTATTTTCAAGCTCACTAATTTGGGCTTCTATTGTTTCAAAACTTCTATTGCTTCAAATCAAATTGCTTTGCCCTTTTAATGTACTATTTCTGAAAATCCTAGTATTAATCTTCTGGATTTCTAGTTGCAGGTTTTGCATTATTTCAAAAATCTGTATATATATATATTTTTTTTTTTTTTTGGGCTGTTTGTTCTTGTAGTATTTTCCTGAATTCTTCTAAAATTTTTGTTGTGTCCTTGCTTTCCTTGACTTTTCTGTCAATCCTCTGAGTTTACTGAAACACCATTCTTTTTCATTCTTATTTAGTTAGTTCCATTACCCTTTTTTCCTCAGAAATGTCTTCTGACTCTGCATCTTGGTAAGTTTGAGTCATTCTCTCTTGTTTCTTCATGTGAGCTAAAATTGTGTTGTGTCCCGGGCATTGTGTTGTTGCCATTTTTCTATTTAATTGATGACTGTATGTTGCTATGTTCTTAGGCACTCACCAATTGTATCCTGTGAATGTAGTGAGAGACTGGAAGTGTGTACACCATTCTCATTCACTGTTCACACACCTGTTTTTGCTGGTTTGGCCTGGCTTTGGCTGCTGTCTATCCTTGATCAGGTGATATGTTGTTGTTGTTGTTATGTGCCGTGGAATCTGTTCCGACTCACAGCGACCCTATACAGGTTTTTCGAGGCTGTAAATCTTTCCGGGAGCAGAAAGCCTCATCTTTCTACCGCGGAACATCTGGTAGTTTGCAGCTCGATTCGTAACCCCTATGCTACCAGATCAGGTGATATAGGAGCTGGTGTTTGTTTATGTAGCCCAGTGGGTGGGGTTACATAAGGTATGGTTCTGGCTGGGCGATATGGCAAGGTTGCTATCTCCTGTCAGGTGGTAAAGAGAAAACCCCTCTACACATACACATATGCAAGAAACAAAATAGAGTAAACAAATAAGGAATAAACAATGAAAAGAGAAAATAATAAACAGAAAAAAGAAATAAAAGCAGATAACAACCAGACAAAAAGAATATAATGACTATAAATACAAAACAGGGACAGCGAAATGGAGCTACAGAAGAGAAAAATAAGTAAAAATAAAAGGAAGAATTTAAATTAAAAAAAAAAAAAAAAAAACACTTGGAAAAGCCAGGAGTGGAAAGATGAAAAGAGTAAAGAGAATAGGGAATAGTAAAAAAAAATCACAAGGGAAACACAGAAGAGGGGCAATGAGAAACAGAAGAAAAGAAGTAAACGCAAAAGTGGAGATAGGATGAAATTCATGGAATAGAAAGAGAAGAAGATAGAGAAAGAATAAGCAAACAAAATCAATGAAACAACAAAAACAAACAAAAAAAAAAAGTACAGCTGTAGAACCAGGAGAGGAGAAAACTGGGAGACTCCTGCAAGTCGAGGACCTCACTAGGTGGGTGTTTTAGGGATGCCACAGTGGAGTTCCTGGACCTAGATGGAGTTCATATCGACTCCATTCAGTTCAGGGCACTCAATCTGGAGACCCAATCATGGAGGCCCTTGATGGGGTTGGTTTCAGTGTCTGTTTAAACCACAGGGTAACTAGGGGTAGAGTGACTGGTTAGATACTTGTCTAGTGGCTCTACAGGTTCTGTAGGTCTGGCGGCATAGCTAGCTTCCGCCTCACACTAGTGTGGCCCCAACCTT